CCCCCACCCCGGGGGCCACGTCGGGAGTGCAGAGACAGACTGATGGAGGGGGGACGGTGGAGAACGAGCAACAGGCACAGGGAGGGGGGACAGTGGTCAGGGCTGAGCTGGGGTGGGGGCCGGGGAACCATGATGCTCCTTGCCCTGGAGCAAGCACTGACCTCCTGGCCCCACGTTCTGGGGGTGTGAGGCAGGGCCTGTCCCAGACTGAGCCCCTGGGCCCTGCCCCAGCAGGCCCTCACCATCAGGGATGCCCAGGGGGCCCTGGGGGACCCAGGGACCCGGTGGCTTTGTCCTTGGGAGCTGCTCACCTCAATTTTTTTAAGTTGTTAGATTTTGGGTTTTTTTTTGTTGTTTTGTTTTGTGTTTTGTTTTTTTTTTTTTGCAAAAATGCCCCTCCCCCGGGCGGGTTTGGGGGGGTTAGCGCCGAAGGAGTGGGGGGGGCTGCCCCAGGCTGGGCTGTGGTGACCCAGGGCAGAGCCCCCCCTGGGGCATCCCTGTTGCCACCTCATCCCCTCTCCTCCGCTCGCTGTGGGTGAATCCCCCTGCCCCCCCTGCCTGAACCCCCCCGCCCAGGTCCGTGCCTTGACCCCTCTGCCTGGGGCTAATGTGAAGCTTCTCCCCTTCCCGTGCCCCCTCCTCTCCTTTGCACATGAGGCCCCCGGGGTGGCCGCCAGCAGCGACTGTCCCGGCCTCGCAGCCACTGTGCCTTAACCTGAGCTGGCCGCTCCTGCCCAGGTGCCCCCTGGCCCCCCCGTGCCCCCCGGGGCTGGCAGTGTCCCTGGGAGCAGCAGCAGCTCCCAAAGCACAGCTGGCAGACCCAGCAGGGCTCCCTCTGTATCACGTCCCATTTGTACACGGGCTTCTCGCCCCTTTTTTAAAAAATATACTCGAAGCCAAACGAGCAATAAAGTGACATTAACACACCTGGCCTGGTGTCCTTCTCTGGGGATGGGCTGGGCTCGTGCAGGTGCTGAGTGGGGCTGGGAGGTGACCCTGGTGTGGGGAGACACTGTGGGTGTGGAGTGAGGGGCTTTGCCATGTCTGGTTTGCCCAGATGTCCCTGGGTTTTGGGGTAGCAGCAGCTGCAGGTAGGACAGAGCCCCCCGTTGTCCTTGCAAGCACAAATTCATCCTGCTGCTGTCCCTGCACCACCCCCTGCCCCAACCTCGACAGCAACTCACCCGCCAAAGGCCAACAAAACAACACTCTGCACAGACAAGTGTTTAATACTAAAAATTATTAAAACCATCTTAACAAAACAGCCTGAACCTTTTAACAAAACAGCCCGAAGGCGGCCGCCTGCCCAAGACACCGCGGGCTCAGGGCAGGAGCCTGGCACCCATGGCCCCAGGCTCAGGGCACTCAAGGCAGCAACGTCCCATTCACCCTCATGCCAGCAAGACCCCTGTGCCATGGCTGAGCCTGTGCCACAACAAGAGGGGTTGGTGTCCAGCAGAGCCGCAGGTCCCTTTGAGCTGGTGGTACTTTGGGAAGGGTCTGGAAAGGAGCCCTGGGGCGGCTCCATTGGAAAACAAACATTTAAACACACCCAGCATGGAGGAGCAGGCAGTCTATGTGCTGCACTCAGCCACGGGCACTGCAGCCGAGTGTGGGTGCTGTGTGTGACACGGTCCTGGTGGGCTCAGCGTGCTGTGCAGCGGGTGGGTGCACTCCCAGAGTCTCTGTCACAGGCTCTGCCCTGCAGCAGACACCGCAGCCGGGTGCTGCCGAGGCTCCAGCCCCAGCACTGGCCCTTACCGTGAGGCCTGGAGGCAGCACAGGGGTAACACTGGGCTTCCTGATGCAGACACCGAGTCCGAGCCACCCACGCAGGGAAGGAAAACGCTGGGCTCTTGTCCTGCAGCTTCCTCCGCCACCTCAGATGCTCCCCTCCCATGGCCGCGTGCCCCAGCATGGCCTGGGGCAGCCTTGGGGTCACTCCCAGCCTCTGCTCGTGGGACTCCAGACTTTTCAGAGCTCCAGGGGCTCCGGTTCATGGGTTACTGCTCCCTCTTAAGCTTCTGTATCTGGTGCGTAACTGGGCTGGGGAAGGAAGTGATTGGTGGTGGGACAACGTGGTGTGGAGAGGGCTCAGCAACGCCCTGACCCAGTGAGGAGGCAATGGGTCCCTTCACGGCTCCCTCCACAGCAAAGGGGCAACTGGAGAAGAATCCTTCCAGCTGGGCAAGTGGTGATGGACTGGGCATTGCCCTGGCTCTCTCCAGCCCCGCAACCACGGACAGAAGCCAAATCCCACACAGAAGAGGACACACAGGACCTGTGGGACAGCTGGTCCTCCTGGGCCCAGAGGATTCTGTTAGCCTCGTGCTGAGTCTTAACTTGAAAAAGCATGCTGAGAGGTGAGAGAGTGGGACTGAGGGGTTTGGGGAAGGAGGGAAGGGTTGGGCAGGGGAGCAGAACATAAAGCAGCTGGGTGAGGGGCTCGGGGTGTTCAAAGCTTTCCCCCAGCAAAGCACGCAGGGCTCACACCTGAAAATTAACCTATATAAAATCTGAAATGAACTGCAACAAGCAAACTCTGCACCAGGGAGAGGACAAAGTGTCTCTGCAAGCAGCAACCGCTGCAGGGGTTGGGAATGGGGCAGGGAAGGGGCCAGTGGGCTGGGGTGGCCTGGGCTGTGCAGGACCAGCAGGCTGGGGCTGGAGGGAACCTGCCCTTGAAGTCCATGGCCTCTACAAGGGGCACAAGCTAGACTAAGCAACCCCAAAGTCTGTGCTGGTGTGTCCCTGGTCTCTGCCCTACGCAGCCTACAAACCCAAAGAGCCACCGACTCCTGACTCGAGCTCTCTGCAACCAAGCAAACCAAGCAAAAGGCTGGCGACCCAGCATGGCCTCACCCAAAGCTTCCCTCACCAGAGGGGCTCGCCAGCTCCGCCCTGGCACTGCCCAAAGGCTGGTGGGACCCTCAATGGCCCAACCTCTGCATGAACCATCCACAGCAATGACCTTTCCAGCTGGTTTGCCCTCGGGGTGGGGGGGCCCTTCGCAGCACGGCCATTCTGGGGTGGGTTGAAGACGTGGCGTTTATTGTTCGTGGTGGGCTGGAAGGTGGTGGCAGCACGTGGTGAGGGCTGCCACTGAAGCTGGTCTCCAACCGTAACAGGCTGCGTGACTCGCTCAGGGGGCTGTTGGCCCCACTCGGGCCCCCCCTCAGCCCTCCTGGGCCCACTTGAGGAAGGTGGGGATGTCCCGCACCGGCACGTTGCGGGTCAGCGCTTTGACTCGCAGGTTCCGATCATCTGTCAGCAAAACCACTTCCCTGAGCAAACGGATGGGATCATCTGCAACGAGAGCGAGAGCTCCATGAAGCTCAGACCTCCTGCTCTGCCTCTGCCCTTACACCCATCTTCCCACACCCACGCCGTGCCCCCCCACCTTCCTCGGGTGCTGAGCTCTGAGGCAGGGCAGGGCTGCCCAGCAGCTCTCCCAGCTCCCCACTCCTTGCCAGGGCTTCCCAGCACAACTCGGGAGGCAACACTTCATCTCGAAGGGCTCCCCTCTCTTGTGCTGGCTGGGGGATGGATCGTGATCTCTGCCCACAGCCTCAGGGCTGCCCACTACCAGCTTGGTGCACCGTGCTGTGCTGCAGGCAGGGAACAGGAGGTCCCTCTGCCTGACCCAGGCCAGGAAGACAGCCCGCGACCCTGGCTCCAGCAGGAAGCTGGTGCTATTATTCTGGTGATCTCATTATAAGATCTAAAACCAACCCTGATTTTTTTTTTTTTAATTATGTTGTTGTTTTTTTTTTTTTTCCCCAAAGCTTTTTGTAGTGGCCACTGACACCAAGGCGTTTCTGGCTGGGGCTCAGACAGCCAGAAAGAGTTGAAGCCTGAGAAATAACCAAAGGGATCTTGCCCCCAGATGGATGAGCTGCCCCGCACGCAACGTGCCGGGCTGGGATGTGGGAGCCACGCTTACGTGTGTGCGAAGCAGGGGAAGCATATGGGGTATGTGTAAGCAGCTGGGTCCTGTGACCAGAGGACTGTTCCTATGAGCACAGGAAACACAGTGCCTGTGAGCCAGGACGGGAATGGAAAAAACAGAGTTTATGGGAGCCCAACATGGGCCCAGATTGGCTGCACGGGGAGCGGCAGGACGAGGGGAAGGGGAGGGTGGGCAGGAACGCGGGCTATGGTGTGGTGTTGGGGTGAGGATGGTGGGTGAGTTCCCAGGGCAGCCCCTGCTGGGAGGAAGGGGAGCAGAGGGTAGGCCTGGGGCCGAGGGCTGCTGCAAGTGGGATGGGGAGGTTTTGAGCGGACACTTTAAGAAATGTGTAACAATAAACATCCTCTGCTCTGCGCTGGTGACGCGCCTCCTTGTTACAAACCAGAGGCTGTCAGCTTGTCAGGCCCCATTCCCCATAATCCACATGATTTCAAAATTCAGCATCATTTGCACATAAACATTTGGTGACGGTTTCTCTGTGAATCTGACAAGTTAAGCTGCTAAGAATTCGCACTGACAAATGTGGGTTGATTTCTTGGGCAGCTGCTGATGCGATTCCCATCCCCACTGTCCTGGCAACAGCCTGGGGGTTGTCTGGTCCCAGCAACATGTGGCTGATGCCAGCACAGCACTGGGAGGGGAAAGGGCTCTGGCCAGGAGGCACTGGGGCTTGAGGGGAGGAGGCTATTTCAGGCACCATGAAATTGCTCCCTGGACATTCAGGATGGGCTGGGGCATCCCCAGCACCGTGAGGTGTGCATTTGGCAGAGTGGTGACAGGGCCACAGCCTGGGGCTGACCAGAGGCAGGAGGTGGCACCTTGGTGTTGAAAGAGGCAAAATGCAGGAGGGATCAGCTCCAAGGGCCATGAGAGAGAGAGGAGAAGGGCCTGTGGGATGCAAAAGGAGGGACAAGGCAGACATGAGGATGTTGTACCTTTGTTGGAGGGCATGAAATCCTTGGCCTTGTCATTGCAATAGTGGAGGCAGCAGGACAGAATCAGGTCATCGTTGTTTCCCTGGAAAAAATGGGCAATGTTACCCTTGGCAGGAAATGAACCTGCAACCCAAGCACCCTGATTTCTGCTCTGCCTTGTGACATTGCCCCAGCTGAGCAGAGAGCAGGGCTGCTTGGGGCAAAACCAAATCCACAGGAGTCTACTCAGCTGCCTACAGAGGTGAGGACAGAGCTACTCCTGTCCAGAGCCTGTGCACCCCAGGGTCCCAAAGCAGCAGTGAAAAACCTCCAGCCCTTGGCATCACTACCTCTGCATCCCATGCCCCAGGGCCGGGATGTCCCTTACCTGCTGGCCGGTGGTGTCTTCGCTGCGGAAGGAGATGGACTCCAGTTCGTTGCCTCGACTGGTCAGAGCCCTCAAGCAGTTGTCCCGGGTCTCAAATCTCTCCTCCAGGAACTCGATGGACTTCCTGGCTCTATCCTGAACTTGGCGGGCATAGCCTGCAGCCCGGTGCTCCATCTCCGGGCCCTTGGCCAGGCCGTCCAGCTCGTTTATCACTTCAAACAGGAAGAGGAGGTACAGTTACCATGGGACAAGGTGCTCCCATGACCTGCTGCTGGAGCACGCAAGTTGCCAAGGCCTTGGGGCCGGGGCACTGGGAGCTGGCTCAGGAAATCTGGGTTCAGCTGCTGCAGTGTCCCTGCTCTCCTGGACTTGGCTGCGGGTCTGGAAAAGCTTTGCTGCCTTCCACCTCCGTGGGTCACCTGGCTTGGCCCTGAGAACTCAGGCACCTCGCCCCTGCAACATGTGGGATAATGCTCCCTAAGGGCATCTCAGTCCTCTCTGTGAAACACTGGCACCACCCCTGTGGTGTGTCCCTTGCCCTGCTCTCCTGCCTCAACCCATGGCTGCTCTGTGTGTGGTGACAGAAAACTACAGCCTGCTCCTCTGCCTCTGAGCACAGAGCTGGAGCACAGGGATGGCCAGAAGCCCCGTGCCTCCTGCACCCCTCAGCAGCCTGTGCTCACTTTCAGGCAGGAGAAGCTGCTGCCCTCCTGCTGTGGGGCTGCAGGCAGGAGCAGGGTCACACCTGGGAGCGGGCAACTCCTGCTCCAACACGCTGTCCTGCACAAGTCCTGGCCCTACTTTCCCCACCTACAGCTGCCATCCCAGGCTCCCAGCAGGGAACATGCTCTCTCCAACACCTCGCCCATCTGGGTTCGCACATCTGTCCTGACACATGGCTGCTCAAGACGAGCCCAAGCCTGGGATCAGGCGCATTCCCAGCTCGTTCGCCTTAACTGGAGCCTGTCAAGCCTTAGAGCCTCCTGTTCCTGCAGGAACCTCAGCGTCCTCCCCCCTGCGAGGGGACAAGGGGCTGCATGTGCACGGGAGAGCTGGGGTGCACGTGTGCGCGAGGCAGCCTCTGCGCGCACACTGTGTGTGTGTTTGAGCCATGGCTTCATTTCTGAAGATTGTTTCCGAGCCTGGAGCCAAGTCCTGAGTTCAAGTGGGAACTATGCATTCCTTGGGGGTTCGGGGAGAGAGCTCGGGGTCTGAGGCCTCTCCCCAGTGCTGTGAATCACTGCCCGGGGAGCCTGCGTGATCGCTCTGTTCCATGGTGAGACTGGCACTCACTGTCTGGGTATTCAAATTAAAGCTGCATGGAGCTGCTTTGCTCTTCCCTGGCCAGTGACTCTTCTTGCTACCGACCTGATGCTGCCATTTCCACACAATGCACGGCTGGGCCCGGGGTGGGGGGAGCCGTGCAAGAACGGAACATCAAACAGGAAAAGCTGGTATTCCCTCCCGAAATCCGCCTTCCTGCTTCCAAGCTAAACAGGCTTCAAAGGGGAGGCTTGTTTGTGCTTCTGCACCAGGCCTGGCTTCTCCATGGCGGGGTCAGCCTCAAGGAGCACGGAGCAGGTTAAAGAGCAAGAGAAACAAACCCAACGCGAAGCTGCGCGCTTAACCCCTTGGTGAATCCCCGGGAAGAGCAGGGAGGAGTGTCCCGTGCTGGGGAAAGGGCAGCGTGTCCCTCTGGCCTGGTGATGGGACATGGCACAGAGGCCTCTGTCCCCAGCAGCCATGGGCTTGTGTCCCATGTCCTACAATGGGCTGTGGAGGCAGCAGGACAGGAGAGTACTGAAGGTGCTCAGTCACTGCAGCTCCTCCTGCCTGTGGTGGGCCAGGCCAGGCTCCTACAGGTTGAGGGCAGCAGCATCTTGGGACAAGGACAGGACCAGGGTTTTCAGCTCTCCTGTAACCACTGCTCCTGCCTGGGGTTTGGATGGAGAAGCCTCCAGCTCTTCCAGGTGTTAACAGGCTCCACAGCCCACAGGGCTGCCCAGGCTCTGCTGGTGCTGCTCCCTTCCTTCCACACACAGCGGTGCCAAGCCACAGAGCTCTTTGGCTGCTCTGGTGCTGAGCTGGGCAGGTGGCCAGCCCTGCTCCCCTCACTCAGGGGTCCTGTCCCCAGCCCCAGGAATCCCTCTGGAGCCAGGCTGCTCATCCCACAGGGAAGGGTGGCAGCTGGACACTGGCCCTGGGGCAGGCAGAGTGGAGAAGGAAGCACCATCCTGGCTGGGAGGGTCAGCACCCCTGCCTGCTGTGGGCCAGGAGACGGGTACGAGAGGACACCTCAATGCTGGAGATGCCCACAGGGAAGAGATGGCTCCTGGTGAGCCAGGGCTGCCGCTGGAATGGGGCAAGCCTGGGGGGCAATTCCTGCCCCAGCCTCTCTCCTGCTGCCCTCAGGGATCCCCTGAATGCCAGGCTGGCACCGGGACGTGCCGGGCAGACACTGAGGAGGAACGTTACCTCCAGCCCGCAGAATGATCAAACAATCAGAGCAAAGGCATCTAACCAAACCCTCCCGCCACCCTGGGAGACCACCCAGCAGCACAGCCGTTATCTGCCAGGGTGAGTGTTTACCAATAACGGGAACCAGCTTGCTGTTTTACTGCGAGCTTTATAAGGATAAAAAGAAGGGCTGGGCTTGAGCAGCTGAGACGCTGGGACACAGACCGGCCATTTGCTCAGGCTGCCTAAGCCCCAGCTCAGCTGGGATAAGCTCTATCTGCTCAGATTGTTTAACAATTCTTCCTTCTTGCTCCCTCCAAAATTCCCTCCAAATCCCATTTAACACTCGTCTGCCTCTCCCAGCTCCTGGCACCTCTAAAATGCACCAGGAGGAGAGGAGTTTTGCTGAGTGCCACGGGCAGAAGGCTGGCAGGAAGGGAGAAGGGCAATATGGGCTGAAGGAACACTGGCCATGGCTGGGATGAGACAAGGTGGGACAGAGGCCAGCATGAGCTGAGTGGCTCCAGACCACACAGGCACTGCGGGCATGTGGGGCACAGAGAGAGGGAGCTGGCACAGAGGAAAAGCCCACGCCAGGGGAGAAGCGAAGTCCCAGCCATAGCACTGGCCCTACTCACCGATCAGGGGCACCACCAGGATGAATTTCCTGCAGTCCAGCAGGGTTATCAAGCTGCTGAGATGATCGATGAAGCCGTTGGTGTCCGGGACCAGGAAGACAGGCCTGATCTCCAGCTCCATCTGCCTCATTTGACTCTGGTCTTTGAGCACAGCCTGGAGGAGAAGGACACACAATGAGTAAGTACAATGTCAGATCTGTGACCTGTGGACCCTGAGAGCAGAAGATAAATCTGGCTGGCATTAACATGTCCTGCAGCAAGGGTGTGGACTGTCAGGAGGCTGCAACCATCCCACCTGCACACCTCAAACACCAGCTCTTGCAGGTCCACAGCACATGAGTGGGACGGCAAAAGCCTCCAAGAGAGCACTCTCTTAGGAACACCACCCTGCCCAGGCTCTGGGGACAACCGGGACCAGCCTTGAAAACGGAGGTGTTTTCAGAGGTTGTCCCGAAGCAGCAGGGAGAAAAAGGAGCTGGACGATGGGGGTTCTGTGGCTGCAGATGGAAACAGCTCCAGGTGATAACAGCCAAAAGAAACCAGTTTTGGGACACACAAGTTCTGTCAACAGCATCCTAACACAGGGACCCTGAGCAGGCAGCAGGAAGGAAGGGCTGTGGGGCAGGGATGCTTGGCCAAGTATCTCACTTGCTGTCCCACCAGCTCCTGCACATGCCTTGCCTTTTCTGACTACAACCAGCTGGGAAACCAGGTGGGTTCCAGCCTTGTAAACCCACAGCATTGCCCTTGGCTGAGCCCTTTACACTCGCTGGAGACCAGAGGTGCTCACACATATATGGGAAGGGTCTGCTGGGTCCTAGTAACAACCCTGTGGGGCTGCACCTGGACCTCTGGACAATGCCAGCTGCCAAAACGGGACCCAGGAGCTCACGTATTCCTTTTGACGCTATCGAAGGACTTGGGCTCTTTAGTAAGTCACAGGCTTAAAACACTCAGGATGCTATTCTAGTGCTTCCTCTGCTTAAAAATAGCTTCCCTGGACTTGCTGATGTTTGTTGCCTCTAATAGGAACCGGTCACCCATGGAGCACAGCAGCACTGCTGTGGAATACATCTACCATGCAAACCTTGAGGAGAGCAGGCTTGCACCCACCCAGGGACAGGAGATGACCACCGACTCTGTTCTACCCAACGTTCCTGGGACCTCCCCTTCCCAGGGTGAGGATCCCAATCCTCCCGCAGTCACACCAAAGCCTCAGAGGCACCCTGGAATGATGATCTGCACGGGCCAGCAGTGGCCATGGAAAGAAGTGGTTTTTAATCCATTTCCAAGTGTTGTCATCTGGCTTTAAATCAAGGCGGCTTGATGCTGCCACCTCCCACAAGTGTCTCCAGACAAGGCAGCAACCATAACCTCACAACGTGCCTCCCACCCTCCTCCTCCTGGCAGCACTGTTCCTGGGGCAGCAGCTCCCACTGACCCTGAGGGGTGATGAGCAGAGTGGGGAGCATGCCAGCCTGGTGACAGCGTGAGGTGACATCCCTCATCACACGGGGGCAACTGTGATGGCACCACACAGACATTACCATGGCCGGGCATGTGCCAGCTGCCATCCCTGCCTTCACCCAGGGAGCTGCTGCCCCTGCCCTGGGGGCACAGGACAAGCTACAACCATCTCCAAGCTCCAAAAGCAAGTCCCACCTGCCACAGGAAGATGGAGCAAGGCCCCATTGGCCACTATAGACACACAGAGAGAAGCAGCACATCCCTTAAGTGGTGGCCAAAGAGCCTGATGACCCTGAATTTGCAGGATGGGGATGGGACAAAACCACACAGTGATGACAGTCCTATGCAAGCAAGGGCTGGTGGCAAGAAGGGGACCCCCCCCCGACCTGCACCCCAATACAGGTCCCTGACCCCAGGGCCTGTGCAGGTGACCTTGGAAGCATGGTGTGAGTGGGGAGGTCATCTACTCGTCTAGCTTTGAGGGTGCAGGGATGATAGGGGGATAGGAGGCAGTACCCTCGTGTGTGGCGTTTGCCCCGGTGACCTTCGCCGCTGGGGCAAATGCCACACACGAGGGTACTGCCCTCTGGCTGTACCCAGGCGATTCCTGGCAGCCGTGAGCGACGCCTGTGCCGGCTGTCACGTCCCATTCCGTTCTCCAGGCCGCCCGGTGAGAGAAGGACACAGGATGCTCCGGGAGTGAAAGAGCGAGGTCGGGCGGGGAACGTGCCAAGTCCCCGCGCGCGGCTCCGGGCCGCTCAGGGAGCCAGAGGGAAACTCGCCTTTGCAGAGTTCAGAGGCCGGCAGTGAGATTTATTTTTGTTTGTGTGAGTAAAAGGCTGCAGAAGCCTCTGGCCAAGGGGTTTTGGGGCGGGGAAGGGGGGGAGAGGCGTGGCCTGTGATTCATGCAGACGCTGGTTGGCCCCCAGCCAGGGAGGAAAGGGAGCCCATGTGCGGGGAACAGGGGAGGCCAGCGGCGCCGCCTTAACCCTTCTCCTGGTCCACGGGGACACGGTCCCATAGGTAGGAAGGAGTGCCCGGGGATGGGGATTGGGATGCCTGTGTCTGGGGCTTGGCACCAGGGGGCCTGTGCTGCCCCCTACCCACCAGAAATGAGCTGTCGGTGCTGCCGTGCCTCAGTTTCCCTAATGTGAGGATGGGGAGACAGTGGCTCACACCCACCCTGATGGGATGGAGTTTGGAGGAGACCCCAGGAAGAGTGGTGGAGTTAAAACAACAGAGGTGCAGCCTCACCCCAAGTGTTTCAGGATGGTTGGATTTTAACGTTGTCTTATTAGGGTTAAACACGTTGCGCAGCTTGGTGGCAGAGTGACCCCACAGTGCTGGACGTGGCACCCCTGAGGCTGGGGCCTCTCTGCTCACCCTGGGCCAGGCAGCTCCCCCCTGTCCCACCTCCTGCACCCACACACTGTGGCCATCAGAGCTGCTCCCTACCCGCAGCTCCCAGCCCATCCTGCTGCTCTGGCCATGGGGGCTGCTCCCAGGAGCTCGGCCAGAGCTGGAGGTGGCTCCCCAGGCTGCCCCAGTTGGTGGCAGCACTGAGATCAGACACTCCCGCACACAGAGTCCCAAATTCCCAGCTCATCCATCAGCTGGGATCACCTGGGGATTCCCCGGAAGCTGCTGCTCGACAGGGGTGGACAGGGGACTGGTCCCCTGAGAGCCAGGCCACCAGGTGTTATTCTGCAGAGCGTCAGGGGGGGGAGACCTGAGGGTCTCCACCACGAGCACGGAGTTGGGGGGGTGGTTCCACATCAGCCCCCAGAGGATCCCCGAGCTCCTCTGGCTGTGGTGCCAGGCTGGTGGAAAGGCTCGGAGCTGAAGCTGGGGAGAACCCCATCCCCCCATCCCCTTCAGGAAGGGCTGTCTGGGGCCACACTGATTTGCCAGGATGGATGGACCATCACCATCCTGCCACCACCTCTCCAGCCCTGACCCCACTCTCCAACCACAGGACAAACCAAGTGCCCGCTCTACCCCTTCCAACCCCGCATGCTCCGCGGGGATCGATGGTGGATTTTCCAGAGCCGAGAACAATGCCTCTCCCTACTCTCTGCTCCAGGGCTTCCTCCTCCCAAGGTTCATCTCCAACGTCTTCCTCGGGAGTAAACGTGCCCCGTGCCTGGTAGCACGACGGGGCCGCCGCCGCGGCGGAGCC